CTGAGAGCCACTAGCCAAGAGCTTGCGCCTCTGTCCTGACCAGCCATAAACACCTGCAGTGGAAGGGTGAGAAAGACAGACGGCCTCAGCCAGGTGTTATAGCTGGCAATGGCCTCCTTCCAGCAGGTTGTACATTATGCGGCAGTGATGTTTATTCTTTCTGAGCAAGGTGTGTCCTTCTATATGCCTACTAAATTTATCTTTAATCCAGCTTTTAACCAGTGTACCCACAATAGATGTTAACTATCTGCCCTGTAATTTCCTGGATTCCTCTACATCTCTCTTTAAAAATGATGTTACACTGGGCATTTTCCAGTCCTCTAGTACAGAGGCTTACCTTGGGGATCTGCTACCTATTTTGTAGGAAGATTGGCAAGTTCATATCTGAGCTGCTTAAGAACACTAGCAGGGATATTGTCAGTGGCTGCTGTTTTATTAACTTCCAATCTGTCAATATGTCTGAGGACTTCATCATTTGCCCCAGTTCCTCAGATTCTCTTCCTGAAAGCATCAGTTCAGGAACATTTATTGGTTCCATATCTTCTACGGTACAGACAGATGAAAAGAATTCATGCCTTTTCCCCACAGTTTTCTTTTCCTGTTTCAGTACTCCATTAACTCTATTGTCATCAAACAGATTCCCTCATGGGTTTCCTGCTTCTGATGTTTTTAAGGAGCTCTCTGAGCTCTGTTGCTAATCTGACTTCCCTGCCTCAAATATATTTATTCATTTTCTTTTTGTTCACTACTTTGGGACCATTTAGGAGTAAAGGTGGGCTGTAATTATTTTAATACAATTTAATGAATATAACCGTTCACCCACTGAACTTGGTGGCACTTAATTTTTAAGGATCTGCATGAGTTTATGTCAACATCTTTCAGATGCAGTAGTCCTCACTCAGGAGAAGTTAATAAACTAGCATAGAAGCAGAACTGTTGCTTCCATTTTTTTTAATACTCTCAATACCTTATTCTAATATGTTTACACAATGGAGCAATTTCAGCAGTCATTATGGTAAGCTATATGGTCTTGGTGCAACTTCTACAAGGGAGTTGTTTTAATCAGTTTAATTTTGCACTGATTAAAACTCTGTTGTCTAAAATCACACCGTGTCTGATTTTTAGATAAAAAAGATTTTGGGATTCACATGGTGGGCATGTCATGAGCGGAGCCGGCTGGTGCCGGAGGTCAGACTAGATGGCCCGGGAGACCCCTTCTGACTCGCTCTGTTTTCTATTTTTCTATGTTTCTGTCTCTTCAAAAGTCTGATCTGGAAGCTCTGTTCCTAATCTCTAGTATGAAGGACTCTTTGTAGTGACTCCATGGGGAACAAAATGCTTGGGTCCTTTAATATGTTATTGTTTTATATGTGCTGGAGTTGAATGCTTGTTTTGAAAAGCACTGTTTGGGGTGAACCATGGCTCAAATGGATCTCTGGATGCATCATATCAGCACAATACAAAGTTCTTATATGAGCTGTGTTAAATGGGACACTAATCCAGTTCATCTCTTGCTTTCAGTACTGGGCAACATTTTCAGGTAATCACTGGCCTTAGGCAAATTCAACATCATCCTGTAATAGTTATTTTTCTAAGTGCTTCTTTTTGTTATTCCCGCCTCCAAACCCTAAATAAGTTTACTGTGATGCTAGTGGCACTAGATTGTAGGTTCAGGAGGCTTCATATATACACAGCTGTCCAGCCAAGCATTTCTATATTAATCTGAGTAGACTACCTCTTGTGTTGACAAAACCATAAAAATAAGACTTCTCAGAACTTTATTAAAAGTACAAATATTGTTTATTCTCAGAAAAAAAATCCAGTTAACAGAAGAACACAGTATATTCCAATTATATATTACCTCAGGCTTCCTATCACTCAGTCAAAGCTTACTGGCTACAAGTATACTGATAGGTTTAATGAAGCATAACAACATCAGCAGAGCAGAACAGATTTGACAGTGGTCACATCTGAATGTTTTGTGGATTACCTGTGGACTTCGTATTAACTGATTCTTTTCTAAATGAGTAATAACACAGGCAATCTGCTCCACACTAAGGTTTCAGCAGCTCCTGCTTTCCATGGGACCTTGTGGCACCTGCTTACCAGGACTCTGGAAACCATGATGCTGTGTTTGAACAACCAGGGAAACTATGGTAAAACATGGAAACCACAGAACAGGTTGTTGTTTCCTATCATGGTTTCTAGAAACCAGATGTACTATGCTGAAGCATCACTCCATCACTCATCAGCACCACTCGTTTGGACAGACAGCATGGTAAACCATCTTGTGCATGGATGGCTCCATTGTGGCTTTTCATGTTGTGTGAACCACCCAGTAAATACCTTGAACTGTCATGCTGTCCTGGGAAAAGGAGGTGAATGGTCAGGACCATAATGGAGTAGCAGGAAAGAGTGGCTGGGCTTGTGAGGCCTAACTCAAGGACATCACTGTTTATGGTGGCAGTGAAAAGGGCAAGTTCCATGCTCGGGGTTATTAGAAATCAGATAGAAAATGAAACTAGAAAATGAAACTTTGAGTACTGTAATGTTGTTACAGAAATCTGCTGCACATCTGTTTGGCATAATTATATGTATAACGCCAGTCACACCCATGGAAAAAAGTACATATGAACACTGAAAACAAATCAAAATGAGTAATCAAAATAATCAAGGTGTTGAAACATGACATGTACAAAACAAGAAACACATAACAAGCAACCCAACACATTAAAGCATGTGTGCATGAAAGCAAGGGAGGTTTCTACAGTCTCATATGGCTGCTATGCTAGTAAATAGCTTGCTGGTTACCCCATACTGGCATTTTGCTGGACAATGAGAAATGCACTGTGTGCCCCCACAGTGACTCTGAATAGAAAACTAAGATAGATTTGCTTTGTATAGTTGTAGGGAAAGAGGGCAAAATGTATTTTAGTGAGTCAGGAAACAGGATATGCCGTGGTGGTTTCTTGTGCAGGCTGGTCTGTCATGTTGCTAGAACCCTGTTGTGGTATTTCGGCATGTTTAGCTTCTAAAAATCACAATAAGGATCAATTATTTGCTTTATGGCTTACACACTTCACCATGGTTTCTTGAGTTATCCAAACCCGGCATTGACATTTCCAGGTAGCTGGTGTGCAGCTGCCACAGAGCCTAGAAAGACTAGCAGCTGCTGGAACCATTCCAGCCACCGAGTATGGGATTAAAATTTAGTTATGGTGGTTGATGGGAAACATGCCAAAAGTGGGAGGACTTGAGTAAGGAGGGTGGAAACCATGTGATTGTCTGTCAGGCATGTCCAGGCAAAAACCATGCACTGTAGAAACCATACAGGGTTGCTTTTCATGACATGTGAACTCAGACAATGAATATGCGTTTCAGTGAAGAGCCTTGAAAGCTTACACCGTATTGTTGATTCCAAATGTTCTGTTTTTTTCTAATCAATGGATCACATCTTTGGTATCTACTTCTGCGGATCTTAGAATCCATCGTGTTCAACAAAAGCATTTGTTTTGCATTTATTGGACACACTGTCTGTTTAATAAGGAATCATCAATTTCAGCTGATTGCTAGTAGTGGAATACAACTAATGCTTCCTTTAAAAATATGTTTTGGCAATTTCCAGTAATTGCTTCCATCTAGGAGCACAGATCAATTTTGTACTGGGGCAGTCTTTAATATTCACTGATACATCTTCTCTTTTAAATTACTAACTGACTTTGTGGAAATTAACAAATGGTCAGTGTGAATGGATTCTCTGTGCCTTTTCAGCTAAAAGACTGATATTACAACACTGGAAGATAAAGATGCACCTCCTGCAATGCAATATATTGAGGACCTTACAACTCTTTTGATGTATGAACAGATGCCAACTTCAATGGATGCTTAATTGGATATTTGCTCTGAAGACTATATATTTTCTCGAGGCCTATATATAATTGTTAGAAATTTATGCATTTAATATAAATCCATATATGAATATTTTTTAAAGGAAATAGTTTCAAAATAAATAATTTTAGAAGCCAGGTGCTCAGGGGCACTGCACTGGGGATCCTTTCCCAGGTGCCATTGGAGGCACCTGTCGGGGCTGCACTTGGGACCCCTTTTGTATGATGTTTTCAAAGACACAGACACACACAGTTTCATTGACTACAATGGATGCATTTTCTTGTGGGGTAGGTTGGTAATTTGGATGAAAATGGAAGGGGGAAAGTTAAATCATCCCTCCTAAAGTACCACATTCCCATACTGAACCAAAGTCACACATGCTAGTAGAAAGCAGAGGGAGAAAAATCATACAAAGATCAGGTACATGTAATTAAAGGAAGTTTTAGTTAGGCTTGAGGAGTCAAACTTGCCCCAAGCTGACAAATTAAACAAATGTGAGAGCTAATAGCGTTAAGGTGCAATCTTATGCATGTTTAGGGAGAAAAAATACAACTCTCAATATGCCCCAGCTGTAGGCCTTTTCTCTCTCTAAACATAAGTAGGATTGCACCTTCATAGAAACAAGCCAAAGTAGATTAAACGGAGTATAGAAAAATCTGATTCATACACTGCTCTCATAAATACCTTACGACATACCTAGAGCGACTCTAGCCAATAATGCATCCTGACAAATGCTAGTCAGCTCAGGTGATGAAGCATGCCCAAATGAGAACAAATCTTTGGACACTTAGACTTCTTGACTCACAGCTGCAGCACTGCAAGATTGTATTAAATGTGATGGATTCACTGCCTCTGGGTGCAATTATATTGCTCAGAAACTGCCTTGCTATGTCAAAGCAAACGAAACAATTGGATTCCAACTTGCAGTCTTTTCAAAGCAAATTTAAATGCCAGACATTATATTGTGCTGACAAAAGGACTGTTCTCCAAGCCGAGGGTCCTCAGAAGTGAGATTTGTTTATCAGCAATATCACATTATTCTGATAGGATTTTGCTTAAAACAAAAGTAAAACCCTTGTTTGCCCAGAGGTTGGTGTTCTGTTTCAGAGGCTTGAAAGTCTGTGCATTAGGCCATATATATGCAGTGTTTACACATGAGTGATCTGTGTTCCTGGCTGCTGCATTTGGCTATCCAATGCAGAATGACTAGAAGCCAACATGTGCATGGACCTAAGGACCTTTTAGCATGATACTGGTCATGTGGTATGCTGGGAGTAGTAATTAAGGTTAGGCTGAAATTCCCACTGTTTTGTGAAAATGTTCTCCTCCTGAGAAAATAGGAACACATTTTCCACTGAATGTAGGGGTGAGTTAAATTTGCCGAGCAGACGGTTGCCACTAACCTTGCTTAAACTCATGAAGTGGCTGAAGGTTTTTCATTTAAGCCCTTGATTTTAGGCCAGTAAGTATTTTTCACATGTCTGTCTTCCCATTCAATTCTTTCAATGTCATGCCAAGGAAGGTAACTCTCTTGCATAGTATATTCAAAGTTCTGCCCCGCTCAAAACTGTGGGAAAAATGCATTGGAATGCAGAACTATGAAAAGTTGAAAAAGGGCTACAGACATCGTTCATTTGGGGGGGAGTATTTTATGTTGATACACAGAACTACTCTCTATTCATAGTCAGCTAAGAACTTCATTTTGATTGGCAGGTGGATCAAAAAAGTTTGATACTGGGGCATTCCATTCCATGGGGAGCATGATTTTTCAAAGGGAGAAGTCTATTGGCAGATAACAGAGGAGGGGGCCTTTCCAGGCAAAAAGGCTGCAGCAGAGACAGAAACTCTGCTGTATATAACATGGTGATTCCAGGGATTCCAGGAATGATGGGAACCCGATTTCTCCAAGCAGGACGGTACTGTCAATTATGAGATCATGAATGCTTAACTAGACAAGCATTTGAAAGTAGGTAGGCCCATAACACTGTGGCACAGCACCCAGTTTTCATGCAAAATTCCAGTCCCTGGCATCTCTAGTTAAAAGGACCAGGTGACAGACAACAGACCATGTGAAAGAACTGGAGATCCACTTCCAGACAGGTGAAGGGAATCTTGAGCTTCATTGGCAAATACTCTTACCTAGTATAAGGCATTTTCCTTACACCAAGAATCTATGAAAGGAGTAATCATTCATCCCTATTTCTTTCAATCCAAAGGGAACACCAGATTTGAAATATGTGTACACTTGCCATGCTGGATGTGGTATATCAGTGTCATGATGCTCTATGTATGTGCGTGTTTATACGCACTTACTTGGATATATGACTATAAATGCTATAATGCAAAGATCTACTCAAACATCTTGTGGCTTCTGCTTGTTATGGATGATTTGCTAATAAGTGCTAATAAACTATATAGAAGAACCATGTGGCATTTCCCATATCTATATCCTACCTGAAATATGTTTATTGCTTTAGTTTTGAATGCTACTTTTTTGATCTTCCCCTATCCTACATGTTTCATGAGGTGACAGCATGTAAGGAACCCACTGTAAGTAGAACTCATAATGGTTTTAGTAAGCATAGTGTATTCAAAACCACCCATGAAGGTCTTGCTATCATATAGTCTGTATAACATAACTGGCTTATTTTTTGAGGTAAGAAAAGAATAATGGCATTGGCACTGAATGACAAAGCAGGACTCAACCCCAAAATGGGGTTCAAATCTTAGCATCAAGGCTTAAGCTGAAGAACTGACCAAAGCAGACCTCACAAGTTGGCCTCCTTTCTGAAAACGTAAAAGATATTGTAAGTTTATTTACTGGTATACGTATACTGCATGCATCATTTACAGTGTCCAAAGTATTTCAGAGGCATGGTCTTGTTGTAATCCTTATATGAATCCTGTAAGATGAGTAAATATCATTATTCTCATATTGTGAATGGGGGAACTGAGCCAAAGACCACCTAATGATTAGGGGCAGAGGTGAGATAAACAGGGGCTTCCTGATCCCATAGTTCAGTCACAGCCTCCGTGCTTCATCAGTTCTCTTGCCTACCATCATATAACTATAAATAACTGTGCCTTTCATGATTTAACTAGCCCTGCTACCATTTATGGGAAGAGGATAATCCCAGTACTGTGAGCCTTGAAGAATATGACAGCATATGGACCGTTTTCCATCAGCATAAGACCTCTGCTTTTGCACTAATTTGGTGACTCTGGCAGCATTAAGTACATTGAACTGTATAATAGAAACATAATGATAATGGTCTAAACAAATAGACATTAGCAGTGAACAATGCATTCATTAAACAGCTGACATAGTGATGATTGGTGGTGGCCGAGAGGTGATGGTCACTGTTGACCTTTGAACCTTTAAGTCCACCAAACTGTTGCTCTAATGACAACATATTTAAATCAGTTCCAGACTGACGCTGAGGTGATATCTGAAAAAAAAATCAAGAGAACCCATTCATCTAAGTGTTTTAATTTTTTGTGACAAAGTGACCCAACTTTAGTTGCTTTTTACTTTTTCACGCCTCTCTTGCTTCCTGTTGCATTTGTCTGGAAACCATTGCCCCAAAAGAGGTGCTGGATGAAACAGGCATCTGGTATCTTGGACAGAATCCAAATCCTCTTCCTAAGCCCAAAGTTTTACATTCATATATTTAGCATTAAATCCTGAAATCTCATTTGCAGCCCCCAAACCTAATCCTGGAAGTCTCAGCATCTTTAATTCAGCAATTTCAAATGCAGTATATTATCTGATATTGTACCTGTATGGAACATTGTCTTCTCAGCACCTGGGCATATAAAGTTTTCCTCTGGGTCAGAGGATACAGGTGCCATATGCACTTGCTACTTTGTGGGACTTATTTAGAGATTGATTTGTTCCAATATTTTCAGAAGAGTATATAAAGTATTGAGCTGTGGACTGCCAAAGTAATTCTTCAGTACAAGATCCCTAATGAAAATATTGTTAGAAAGGGGATATGGAAAGTATCCCCTATATATACATTCCCTACTATCTCAGTGTAGGCGCAGAACGTGATAGCCTAATTTGTTACACTGTAGAAAGTGGTCTATACTGCTGGCGTCTCTGCCTTGCTCGCTGCCTGCGTCGTCGGAGTGACAGGCTAATGGGCTGCTTTCCAAATTTCTCCATGATCTCTTTGATCCGGGCCAGGTTGGTTTTGCTGATTGTGAAGTCACACCGGGTTGCACCCATATCATACCCCACAGCACAGTTTTTGGTGGAAGCTGTATAGCCTTCTGCTTTTGCAGTGACTACATATTCTCCTGGGTTTAGAAGGCGCCAATAACCTCCATCGCTTGCTGTTGAAGAATTGAAGAAGAATAAATATTAAAATACATTTGCCTTAATTTCCATCCTTCTTTTAATATCCGAGCACTTATCTTCCTTGCATGATAGATTATTGTTCTAGGAATGGGCTTTGGGGATTGGTATATGAATTAATTATCTTCCAGACTTCCTGGAACTGTTGCACCCATGCTTTTCATGTGTGGCATAATTGTATGTTTTATTCGTACAGGCTTACTTTACCAAACAGTCTCATATTCTCCCTTCCCCAAGAGATGGGAAGTCCAAGCAACCTTCAGAAATAATTTCATTTGACAGAAAGTACAGCAGAAACTTTGAATACCTTTGTAATAGTCTAACTGTCTGAAAATGTGCAGGCTAAACAAGCATTTGAGGAATGCAGATGCTAACATGCAAGCCATACTATATTGACAGGAACATGGTTTTCGCAAAACCAATCTTCAAGCTGCGGTATAATGTTTTCCCCCCTCTATCTTCTTTTGTCAGACTATTTTGAGCCCACATCTTGCACAAAAGAATGTAATTAAATTCTTGGTGTTAGAATGGCCACCAGTCTCTACCAGGAGCATTTCAGAGTTCAGTCAAAGCACCAACTGATATCTAGACCAATGAGAAAGATTCAAACTAAACACAGCCGGGCCTAAGTTCAAATGGGATATGTATAAATATGGAAATTTTTCACCTACCCATTTAGTGTGCGGCATAATCATATGTTCTTTTCTTACATATACATATTCACAGGCTCCCCTCAATGTGAAAGCAGCAAAATAATGTTGTGTTTATCTTTGTGGTGAATATTGCCATGTAAATATGCACGTTTGTACAGGTTGCTTCCAGTTCAGAATATAAACCTAACTTTGTATGGGTAAGCCTACCTTTAGCACAACTGATCATTGATAATGATTCCTTCCCTACTCCAGTATAATAATAATAATAATAATAATAATAATAATAATAATAATAATAATAATTTGCAAAAATAAGAAGAATGCTTATTTTTGGAAAATGTACACACACATCCCTAAATCAACAGAAGAATGTGTGCATATCAGAGATGCACACAACTGATGCACACATTTGGAAAAATACATGCAAAAAGAACAAGCAAAGATCACAATCTGGAATAAGCTTCAAACCAGAATTTGAAGAATTGCAGTAAGCTCGTGTTTTGCTTGCATGCTCATCCCTAACTCTGTCTGAACAAGGATACCAAGGAAAGGTTCAAAGATCTGCTCTGCATTGGCTCTGAACACAGATAAGTGTCAAAATATTGAAGTAAGAACACCACAGTGTGACTGACACTACATTAGAAAAGTGTTGCTAAAATTCGTAAGGGAAATATAGAACAAGGACCCATATGACATGCTCAAAAAAAAAAAAAAAATCACATAACAGTTTACTGTGTTTTTGTTCTACCCTACCCGTTCATGGCAATGATTTTTTCTGCCTGGAAAACTGAAGTGTCAGCCTAATCTATAAACCCATTAATGTGGAGTGCTTGGTTTCAGGTCCATTGATTTCACTGAGATTCAACTGGCTCAAATCTAAGTACTCCAGTTTTACTGTGGTTTAGGCTACAAATTAGCTTTAACCTGTTGTAGGTCACAAAAATACACACATGCACACAGGGTGGGGGTTTGGGGAATTAAACAAATATTTTGCAGATCCAACAGATCAGTATAAATGAGTTTTACCAACTCTGAGCTATGCTGTACAAAGAGACTATTGCAATGGAATTATTAAATATGCAAGAATCATTCCTCCTGATTTTTCTGAACATATAATGCTGAATCTGGAGGGTCTGTTGTCATCATGACTTCTTGCACCAGCAAGGGTTATCTAAAACTTTGGAAATATATGCAAATGAGTTGCTTCATAGGTAATTTTTATTCCTGCATCTTCTGCTCTCAGCAGCAGCATGCAGGACACTTCCAAATGAAAATTACCTGCACTTGATTTTGAATGATTAACAACATACTGAATTTAAGTTGTGAATATTTGTTTGTTCATTACATTTATATTCCTTCTTTTCCTGCAAGCAGCCAAAGACAGTATCTATGATTCCATTTTATCATCACCACAACAACCCTTGTGAGGTGACTTGGCCCAAGGTCACCAAGTGAGCTTCATGGCTGAGCAGGGAACTGAAGGCTATGTAAAAACATGAATGCAGTAGCTGCCACAGGGTCAGCCATTGTCGCACTAACACAAAATGAAACACTGCTATTATTTGTTTTTCCCATAGGAATGCTATGATAAAAGGACATTTGACGTGAAATAAAATAAAATGCAATTTGATCAGCATTGGGGTGGCTGTGCTGCAGTTTCCTCCAAGTCATGCCAGGTCCTGTTTTGGGGGAAATGTACTATACGTTACAAAGTAAGTCTGGTTGCATCACAGTGGCATCAGCAAAAACAAACAAAAAGCTCTAACTCTAGTCAGAAATCGATGCAACCCGCCCACCTCCATGTGATCAACGAAGAGCTCAAAGAAAACCTTTCTCAGCAATGATCCTGAAACATCTTGCCAAGCTATACTTTGCTTTGGTTGCATGATAAACAAATATATTAAAGCACACTAAGCCAACAAATCAGTATTCCAATATTCCACTCTATTCTTTCTGCAGATTTACCATCAAAACCTACTTTCTTAAGAAAACTATACTGGGAACACACCAAACATTTGATATGTGGCGCACAGACTGGTTGTTGTTACCGCGTTAAAACTGGAGGCACCAGTCAAATGGCAGAAATCCCCACCCCTCCAACTCCTGGTCTAGTTCTGCAGTAGTAGTCAAGCCCAGAATGCGCTGACTAGTTTTTATTGTGAGCAGCAATTGGTACTTCCCTTTCCCCAGACTGTACAGAAGTTTCTCATTATATATTGTTCCATATCCACCAGGATTCCCAAGCAATGAAAATAAAGCAAGAAAACAGAATCAAAATACAAAATTAAAATATTTTAAAGCTGAATATAAAATAAACTGCAGCTGGTCAATCAAAGCAGACTTGTTTGGTTTGATAATATCTGATGGACTGCACCGTTCCCACTACCATGTTATAGAGATACCAGATCTCTCAATGCTAAGCTCATGACATCTTTCACTGGGAAAACTGTAATCCTCACCTCCACCATGCCAGGACTGCATGGGAATGAGGGAAAAGATTGCCTCACATCTGTATTATCTTCTTATTTTACTAGTATATTGGATTGTCTCAAACTTTGCTACTCATATCACATACGATAGGAAATCTGGCAAGTTCATTCCTTATTTTTTTCCTACTTATTGGGCTGAAAATAAAAGACAGAACATTGAATGATTCCAAAATACCCATTAAACTGTTAGTTGGTTGGAAAACATTCTTAGGATTGAAAAGTAGTATATAATACACATGAACACATGTAAACACACAAGGTTGCCGTGATGGGGGTATATGTCAGTTTTACTATTAGAAGCCTGTTTATCCCCTCAACACAATGGCTTGAAGTGCCTGATCCTGCCTAATCTTGGACGCTAAGCAGGGTCGGGCTGGGCTGAAATCTGAAGAGGTGACGTAAGTCCTGCACTGGGCCAGGCGGCTGGACCTGATGGCTTGCTAGGCCCCTTCTCACTGTATGATTCTATGATACTCAATCAAATGGCAAATCTCTGCTCCCAGTCTTCCCCTATAACAAAAAATGACAACTCTGATTTCAAGACACTAGATAACTGACATGCATAGTTGCTCATACTATTCTGCAGACGGTTACATTACTCCAGTTGTTATGACCATCCCTATTAGTAGTGCTTAAGATTCCTCTCAGTCAATAACTATCTACTTTGCATATTTGAGAAGACTCTGGCAAGCAAATGGAAGACACAAAAAATCACTAGGTAAAGAGTGTCCATAGAAATAATGGGGAACCCAGAGGATTAAGGTATACATTTGAACAACTGTAATTCCTAGCTATACAGCTATGGAGCGCTTAACTTTTTTTTTTCCATTTTTGGTCTTTTGTTTATTGAAAAGGGACTGACCCACAAAATGAAATAAGTCTCAAATACAGGCATTTCCTTTGAGCAGTGCCAGAAGAGATCATAATCTGGAGAGACTTAAATGCTTTGAAGAAGGACTGGCAGTCCTAGACACTATTTCTGGGCTTGGCTGCACCTTATTGGAGTGCTGGCTAGATCAGTCTGAATGATACTTAAGAAGCAGTTAAGGATAGCTGCCCTTAAAGGGTGGAGTTGGTGGTCCTTTGTCACAGACCTTGTGCCTGAGTTCACAGTTCTATGGTCATGATGGGGTGGGTGGGCTCAGACATGTGCCATTCTGTGTTGTGCTGAACCCTTTCCTCTATTTAGCGCAGGATTGACTGTTCCAGTCATCCTCTTACCCTTTCCTTAAATTAGAGAGAAATGCAGTTACCTGTGCGGATATCGTGATTAACGCCTTCTACAGAAATAATGGCATTTGGAATTCCCCTTCCATGGAGATCCCTCACCAAGCCTTTAATTCCCCGGTGTACCTGTCAGTAAAATCACATACACAGATGATCAAATTAGGCAAAGACAGAAAAAGGTAGAGAAAATCCATACCAATCATTATGAATTATATAATTTTGTGGATGAAATATATGTTTTCCCCAGACTGTATAACTGAATTTCTGGCAAAAAAACAAAACAGAATATTTTAGAAACAACAGAGATGTGAACAAACTGAGACCAGGAAGACGTGCCTAAGAATAATACAATTATCTCTGATGCCTAGGAAATACTCCACTATTGGACAGGTCTTTATTACCAGTATCAAGCATCACATGAGCTTTGAGGGGTATGCCAGTTATTATATCCCATTTTCTTTCTTTCTTTTTCATTCAGATTGCCTTGTGACAATTAAATGCTACCGATCTTATTACTATGATATCCATGAAAGCAAATAAATGATTTGAGAATCTTTAATATACTGAGCACTGATTCTTTCCTTATCAAGCAATTACCCCCTTCCCTGAATGCCTTTCCCAAAGCAAAAGCTGTCTAAAAACATGCAAAGAAGGGAAGATGTGAGCCTTGATAAGTCACTCCACCCGCTTGATGCCATGATAGAGAAGATACTGTTCTACTCTTACTCAAAGGTTGGCTTCCCTTTAGCTCTCATATGCTTTGAGCCCCAGCTGTTTTTACAGAGCTATTCTTCATTGTATGCTTCTGCCTGTCTTCTATTTTTGCTTTTAAGATGTTTGTATTTTTGAAGACATTTTATGGCACTTTACAATGTTTTATAAATGGTTGTAAACTTCCCAGAAAGCATCAGCTGTTTGCTGGTATTTTATATATTTATATATATATATATATATATATATATATATATATATGAGTAAAAGCAAGCCAAGAAGGCTTCCTGTTCTACCTACCATCCTGTACCATCAAGTTTCATGTTTATAAGAAGCAATTGCAAGGTTATGCATTTGCACACTAAATTTTAAAACAAGGTATGCAAAGCCCAATGCTGAGGTCACAGGGAAAAACAGGTGCTTCTCAGAGTTTCTAGCAGTCTTGAATATTTCCTCCAAACCTACTTTTGATAGCATAATGAGCACATTTAATGGCCCATATAATATTACACTTAGAAATATGTGCTTGTGGCATTATATCTGAAAATTAGACTTGGGATGCAAATGACAACATGTACATCTATTTTTAAAAAGATGCATTAAGCCTTCTATTAATTCCAAAGTTTAGCCTCATATGTATCTTATTCCTGAAAAAGACCAATCTAATCCTATTCCCATGTTATGGTTCCTTCTGTTTTAAGAAAGAATGATAATCTCTTTTCAAAGCAATAGCCAAAACCCTACACTTTGCAGGAAGTGCCCAACTGGAGTGATTTGAACGGACTGTTCAAAATGTGATCTGCCAAATGTTTGCCCTACATTTCTGAGGTATGGAAGCTTGACCCACATTCTCTTCTCTGGTTTGGCTTATTAAGAGAGCTAAAGGGCATAGAACCATGAAGTGTCTTAAATATGTGCATGTAAACAGAAGCAGTTACTATCTGTATATTTTCTATGAATAACATAAGCTTTGAAATAACAATATTAATATATTTTCAAACTCAGAAGCATAAGAAGATATGAAAATCACTTCTTACAGTTACTTTTGTTACCTAGACTAGTGAGATCCAGATAAAATCACTAAAGCAAAACTTAAATTATTGCTTCTGAGGGTTTTATTATTGTTGTTCAAAAATTATTTTATTTTACATAATGTCCTCTGAGATGCTAACACCCCTTTCCCCTCCTTGCTTGAACTAAAATGCCCTGATTTTAAAAATGATCTAATTGTACTTTTGAAGGTTAGGATTTTCTTTCTCACATGCCAAAACAAAAACCCAAACCCATGATGTTTATAATCTAAACATAGATCATCATTTGAAACTTGCCTAGGAAAGAACCATACAAGAGTGCATGCAACAAACTGAAACATTGACAGCTTTCTTTTCAATATTTTTCTCTCTCTTTCCAATATTTGCACTTTGTGTAGCATTATATATTTGTTTCATTAGATTTATATCCCACCATTTTCTTACAAAGAAATCAAAGTGGCTTACATCCTCCTCCTCCTCCTCCTCCTCCTCCTCCTCTCAGTCTTATCCCCACAACACCAACCCTGAGAGGTAGGTTGGGTTGTGAGTCTGTGCCTGTCACCCAATTGGCTCTATGGTTGACCAGGGACTAGAACCCAGGCGGCCTGAGTCCCAGTCCCAGGCTCTTACCCACCACACCGCACAGGCACTCATGCAGCTGAAATTTTATGAGCAAGAGGGATGTACCTGCGGGCTTGCGGGTGGGAGATCTGCGAGGCTGCGTAAATACAACTAATAAAGCTCGGTGGGGGAGTGCAGCCACTTTGCTTGAGAACCACTCTCCTTTTGCTTGGGAACTGTTTAGCAAGCAGTTTGCCCTCCTTACCTTCCATCCCATTCATCTTGTTAAAGCAGCCAAAGGTGAAATACCCAATCAAAGAAAAGTGCATTAGAAACAGATTCAAACTTGAATAAGCCAAAGTGATGTATTTCCTACCTGCTCCATGAAAACAATCAGGGATTCCCGGTTATTTTCCCACTCTTCAGGTAATTCACTTTCATGAGGATATTTATCACAGCCAACATATATGGATAGTTCAAAGCAGTTTGTATGCAGGTAACTAAAGTCATTTATACCTGTCAATGCAATAAAGATATACATTTTGAGGGGGGATCCGTGCAATAAAAATAAAAGAGGTTTTCTTTAGTCAAGAGTAGACAGAACCATTTTTAACAGTAAAATTGTCCTAATATTTGAGATAAAAAGATGAAAAGATTTTTCGGGAAATGCAAGCATTTTATAATATCAGTAATTTAATTAAAATGAACTCATATACCATTTTGCCACTATGAATATTATTGGAGTGTGAAAATGTATATACATTTTTTTCTTTTCAAACCATGTTATACCGAGTACGAGGGTAATATGCATAAATCCAGTATACAATCCATGCGCATTTAGGAAATCACAGTCCACTTTTCCAGTGTGTTTTTGATCCAGAGCTCAAGAACCCCATTTCCCTGATGAAGCAGACACGCCGCATAACTGCTGAGGAAGAATGTAGCAGCCAGTCTTCCGAAGGACATTTACTGAGAAATGTGTGCATCTTATCTAACAATGGCACTATAAATGTTACACATTTAAGAAAGAAGAATTTATCTCTTAAAATCTAAGATTTCATATTTGCACGGTTTCAGTTTTTCAAGTCTACATGACAGAATCTGAAATTTCCCAAGATATTGACATGTGGGATACAGCTATGCATTATTCTCTCAGGTGTATTATCAAACAAACAAAAACTTAGAGGGCTGCTTTTCCTTCAGGTGGAGAAAAGCACCTTTAGGTGCAGAAATCTGGGGAGAGAAATTATTTATTAAGGAGCTTAACCCTTTCCATAGCTGCAGCTTTTCAACTCCATAGTGCACTAGTTCAAGTGCTGGATGGGGGACCTGGGAGATCTGGCTTCCGTTCCCCACTCAGCCAGAAAGCTCACTGGGTGACTTTAGGCCAGCCACTACCTCTCAGCCCAACCTCCCTCACAGGGTCGTTGTGAGGATGGGATTAAGAAAAGTGGGCATATCTAAGCCACCTTGAGCTCCTTGGAGGAAAAAAGGTGGGTGATAATCGCCCAGACAGCCTTGGATATTGGGCTATATGAAAATGAAATAAGTGCATAAATAAAACAAATAAATCAATAGATTGCTGCCCCCAGCTGATGTCCTAGTTGGGTGGCACATGTCAGGAATCTTATGGTGGTGGAGAGGAACTGTCCAGGTGGATTTGGCACCAAAGAAGGGCAGATGGGAAAGAATTAATTTCCTCTTCACTGCACAGCTTCTCATCTCTGCCTATCACCTCCCAGAGCTGATGTTTGTTGTCACACCTGTATCTTTGTAATATGCACTGTCATCTTTAGTAGAAGGTTTTAAATGCCAGTTCAGTTGCAACTCTCTGCAAGCACTTATGGGAGCCATAAAAGGATAAAACATGCTACAGAGCCAAGAACAAACCTACTGTTCAGATTTACATTCCAGCTACCCCAGAAACTAAAAAATAGCTTTATTTTTTGTGGTTTGTGGAAAATTGAGACTCAGCTGAAACAATATCTGAATTTAGCTCATTCCAGATACAAAATTTTGAAACAAACATCTGGAATTTTAGGCTGGCATTGTGTTTCCCGACATCTGTTCAAATCTTCAGGAACTGGATCAACTTCCAAAATCTTTTTGGAAAGCCAAGCAAGCCAACTACAAAGGTGGCATTTGTTTTCTAAATGACTCTTTGTCACAGCTTAGCAACTGGAGCTTTCTCACTGAAGTGAATCATTGGATCCCGTCACCTGCCCAACAGACGAGAAGCATTCCGTCAAGGAAGATCCTTGGAAAGATTGGCTGCTCCTCTCAGTGCTGGCCGAGGTCCTTATCCCTGCTAGCATGTCTGGAGGTAATATACCCATGACTGCTGAAGGTACCCAAGAGGGCTCTGAGGACTTGCCTGGCCAGAGCTTTAATGGGCCATATATTGTTCCTTAAAAACCTGTGTTGCAGTCATATTTTAAATCTTTTAAAATGGCATCATTTTTAACTGAACACTTTGTCACAGAAAACCTTTGTTTTAATTAAATATAGATAATTGGCATGTCCTCAGGATGTTCATTTTTAACCATTTCTCAAAAAGATACACATATGAGACAATAAGAAAGAGAGACTATGACTAACATACATGTGTTTCTCTCATTATTTCTCCATGTGGCAATATGAATGCTTTGCTCATTAGCAAACTGCATTTCAAATTAAGGTAGGGAGGGGAGTTTTGAACTTACAAACAAATGAATTCTAGCAATGCTTAAATTATTTTATTTTATAATGGTGCAAAATAGAAAAAATGGAAGCAACTAATAAATTTCAGTGAAGAGAATGGGAAAAAAAATCCTATTACCATATAGCAGCAGTCAAGTATTTAATGAGCCCAAAAGTACCTTCTGGATTCTGTGTAGGAGGATTATATAACACAGATGGTAAGCTTCTTAATGGGAAAAGATTAAAATACCAGAGTATTGCCCTCTGCTGCTCCACCGAAGTCTTTACGCATTCCAGTTAAGAGGGACAAACTTTGTTCTGCATATTTTGAGTTAATGTTTTGCCAAAGTTCTACTATGCTCTCAATTTTAGTTGCTTTCTTAGAATGCTCTAATATGGTTGCACTCAGTGATGCATATTGTTACTATGCCTGCTTATCCATACTCATATTCCAACAAATATTATGGGGAAAAAAGATTTCTATCTGCTACTTACATCTGGGACCTGAGTATGATGGGCAGATCCCAGGCTGCAAAAGTCTTTGGTTTCATTACAGAAGGAAAATGCTTTTTTCTCAGTAAGGCTAGGTAAGCACCACTGCACATGGAACTCCACCACATGATACGACTATTTAGTTTTCAAGATTTGCATCAGCTGACAGCTCTGAAGGAACTTTTGCTAAATTAGCATTAATACTCTTGTTTATGAGTTAATTCACCTTAATGAGCAATGTACATACAGCCCATCCTCATTGTATGTAGTAAAATGGGAAAAGAATAACAATTGATTTTTCTATTCAAATGCTCATACAAAATGTCAGTGCATGCTAATGCTGAGCCTTCCTTTGTAAATATTTTCTGTTTGTCAGAGGAGAAGCATTTACACAGGGAAGTATTCAAAAATATACTTGTCAAACCCACAGCCAGAGGTGCATATAGCTCAGTCTACATCTTTGGGACTTTGCTACTGAGAACCGGCTTTGTTAGTATCATTTAGGTAACTGGTCCAGGAACTGGAGTGAATAATTTAACTGAATTCTACTACCTATCCAAGTAAGTTGTCCACTTTGCAGCTGAGTCCCTGAAATGCTGGACTAAGGGATCTGTCTCTGTTATTGTGATGCAGTGTTGTGGCTGCCTTTCAAGACAGTCCAGAAGCTTCAGTCAGAGCAGAATATGGTGGCAAGACTGATAATAGCAACAGGCCATTATGATCATAGAATGTTAGGCCTATATTATCTCCTTTGGCTTTCAGTTCATGTCCAGGCTCAGCTGAAAATTTGGCTTTAGCCTAGAAATCCCTCCATGGCGTGGGATGCAAGCACCTGATTCCAAAGGATCACCTCACTCTCAGAACTGCATCCTCAGGTGCAATATTTTCACTTCAGTAGTCAGGCCAGTGAAACAGGTGTTTCTCTAGGAAGTGAAATAGGTTTCTTCCACTACTCTGCTTTCTCTGTATGCAATGGCAAGAGGCTGCCATTTTGCTCCGTTAGGTTAGGAAATAACTTCTCAGATGACTTGGGGGGGGCTGCAAGAGAAAGAGATATTCAGAGATGCAGTCTTTAGTGTACGTTTGTAGTGCTTGGGTACCTAAGTTTCAACATGTGTAGAGGATGCTTGTGAGATATTAAAAATAGGTATGTATCTGGTAGTTTTTGATAGGCTTTGGTAAATATATTAATTCAGGAAATCCTTTCACAATCCTAATTTTTAACTTGGGTAGAAACATTCTGATGTCAAAAATAAGTGTCAAAGTTCAGAATGACACCAGAAGGATTTCTGCTTAGCTTTACTGAGATTCACTTCATATAACCCACAAATTAAAACAAAATGAAAACAAAAACTGAGAGATGCAAAAGTGTTTTTCCCCAGCTGCCAGACCTGCAACTCTGCACACACAAGCACACAAACTTTACCTCCCTGGGCAGTGGGGAGGTCTTTGCTAGCAACTTCTGTAAACTGTCCTGCAGTTCATTCTACAAAGTAATTCACAACGCATTACAATGCCACTAGCCTAGCTATTTCTCATACTAAAGAATGCTAGGAGAACATTTGCACTTTCCTGCTAGCGTAACACTGAACATAGCGTACTGTCCCCTTCTTGCTGCCCTTATACTGAGCACTGCTGACATAGGCTTGGATCCAGATTGGTCCTAAAGTAATGCTCCTGCCCTCTGCATTCCTCAACTGATAGATTATTCCTGGGCTTCATGCACATACAAGTAGGAGTAGATTTTACAGAAAACCTTTATCTCATTGGGTTTGGAGTATTGGGCCAGCCCAAGTCATAGACTGTTGGCCTGAAACTACCCACAGCAAGGAATCCAATGAATTTTATTAACCTTTGCATATGTTTTATTTCTGAGGAAATGCTAGGTTAATGTAGCAAGAATGAGCAGGAGTAAGAGATTAAGAGATTTAGTGAGCACATGTTTTGTAAAAGCTGCTCTTATTCAATTAACACTTTTTAGCTAATTCTATTTTATGTTCTGTTATCTCATATTATTTGAGATATACATGGGAGTAACTAGATGGAAAGGAGGAACAACCAATATTTCAGAACTCTCATTGTAAAATAATCCAAACATTTTCCCCCTAGCACCAGATTGCTGAACAAATATCTCTGCATTTATCAAACAAATCTGATGAACCAGTTCCAAAGCAACAATTGCTATTAAAGAAATCGGTCAGTAGTTAGCATTGTGGTTAAAGCCAGTTTTCAGAATTAGTTGATAGCAACATGGCTCTGTTGAATGAATTTATAATCAAACTTATACAGCACTTTAAAAATTGATGCCATAAATTTAATGATCAGGCAGTCAATTATGCATTTAAACTATACAGTTTATGCAAAAATCAGGACAATTATTATTAGTGCTTATGAAAAGTTGTTTTTATTTTAAATGATATTGTGACAAACACATACAAAACTTTATTTCCTGAGTTTAAAAGGTCTTTGCAGACTGAATAAGATATTTTGCACACTGACATCTGAGTCATTACATGTAGGCCAAGATTAACTTTGTTATGATCCAGTGTAAACATTATAAAATTAGCTTCCAAGTTGTACACTGTTTATTCAGTGAAAGTGCTTCTTTTACATGAATGACAAAATAGACCAACCAAAGGATCTTGCAAACATATTAATTTATACTAGATTTCTGCCTTTATCATTATGCAGAAAGAGTAAAATGGAGGCTATCAATTCTGTGACCTAGTTCACATGTCACAACAACATACCAACAACCCAATGTTTGTTAAATTAGGAACTAATTAGACAGAACAAAACAGTTCAGCAGTGCCCGGTCATATGGTTGTTTATTACAATTTCCAAACCTGAAATTGCGGGTGGTTGGAGGAGAGACAATCTGGAGTTACTGATTGCTGTTTCCAGGAACAAACCATGGAGTCTGATTTTGGACTGTGTCTCCCCAAGGAACCTGATACTGATTGGACTATGACACCAGCAATGCAAGGAAAAACTAATGTTTTGTGTAAACTGGGAACCACAAAGGCTTGCTAAGCAGAAGTTGATTATTTCTGGTGGGTGCTAGTGAAGTAATGCAGACCATGTCTCATTGATGCGGGAATGTCCTGCAAAGGATTTTTCTTTCTTTTTCCTTTTTGGAAGGAAAAGAAGTCATTGCTCATATAAATTTTGTTCTCAAAAAGCCATGGCAATAGTAGATGTACATGCACTTGTTAGCTATGTCACTCTGTTCCAGAGATTAACAGATAGAAACGAGAAAGTGCCCAGAGCGTTTATGGGTGCAAAGTGACTTGAAAAGAAAAATCCTACTGCCTATCACACAGGGGACTGAAGATCCCCTGCTATCTTTCATCATCTCTCCACACGTGCTATGGACAGTTACTTAGCTAGATGAACTGCTTATTTTATCATGCACATTTGAAACAGAAGTGTCAACGCCCTTTTCCCCTTCCTGTGCTTTTTCTTATTCTTATCTTTCTTTTCCTATATCCAGGGAGATAGCAATGATTACTATATATCAAAGTCTTTCCTGATATTGTCTTTCCTTTTTTGCTTTATTTGGTTGTTGTTATCATTGTGTTGCAAATGAAAAGATCTAACCAGCAACACCAACCTACACGTGTGAGTGTTGCTTGCAAACCACATCTGTCTAGGGATGTGAGATTTACTTGAGGTTTTTTTTTTTTAATGCATGCTTTGCTTTCACTCATATTTGTTAGACAGATACATGGCAAGTAAAGATTAAAGGAGAATATTTGAAATCCATGGAGTGCTTGTCCACTCCAAGTACTCTATTTTACACACTCCAATGTCTGCTGAGGCCTATTAATAGTATAATGTGTCCCTAATTGGATTCCAAATTGATTTATAAGCCAAAGCAGAATGTCTCTTCTCTCTATAGCTATTAAGTAGGGGAAAGAGCTGAATGTGGCTGTCTGAGCCAGTGAGGCCTACTGAGGTTACTGAATACCCACAAGGAAACTAAAAAAAATACAAGGGTGGGGAGACCTTTAAGTGTAAGACAGCAACAGCAAAAGTCCCTTCTCTCCCCTTGTGGCCAGTCTGAATGCCTTCCAGAATCACACTGTGCTTAGTATCCAACAGTCAGTCTGTCTGCTTGCCTACCGTTTTTGACTAGGTAGATTGATATAAGGCACAGAGAAATGGATATGTAGGCAGAAGCTACATGGTTTTGTAGTTATATCCAGGTTTTTAACAGGGAAACTTTGTTGAGCTTTCTCTGTGTTTCTTGCATCCTTTAATGCATTAACATCAGCCCCCACCACCAAAGGGCAGGATACCTCAGCCTCACAAACCAGTGTAACCAGTGACTAACCAGAGGTCAGTCACACGGCAGTAGCTTGCCTGCACAGCAAACAACTTCCCCTAAGCTTTCTCAGTTCTCACGGAACTGAGGTGCAAGGCAAAACCTTTTTCACTTGCCAGAAACCAGTTTTCCAGCAACCAGAGATTTTTGTTGCTGTGGTTATTGTTGTTGCTAGTTTTTCCTCCTGCCCATGCAAAACCTTCTTTGCGCCTCAGTTGATCATAGAACTTTTTTTTTTAAACTCAGCCTTTTAGATTCATATCAAGCAGCACCAGTCTGCATGGCTGTAGATCCTATTTATTTAACCTATTTCAGGTACCATTTACATCCACTATAAAAAGGAGAGTGGTTGCAGAAACCACAAGCAGAACGAAGTACTCAACAGTGAAAATATGATAACGCTACATCAGTGCAGGAACATCTCGCAAAACAGGAAGAGACAGAGACATCAAAGCATTGTCTCTATACCATGTAGGTGGGTGACTGCTATTCAATTCACAGTTAAGCTGACAGAGCAAAATAACAAGGATGACCTTTCAGAAAGTTTAATGTTCTTCTTTCCTTCTTTTTGAAAGGCACTTACTTCCTGCAACGGTATGCCACGAAGCCCCATTCACAGTGCCATCTTCCTTCTGGAAGTCCTCTGTATGACACACTCTTCGCCTAGCATCTGTCATTAGGCGGTGAGTGGAGGCATATGAATATGCCAGCCACCTGAAAACATGATCATCTGGGGTAGGAGTATGTTCCTGGGTTTTCCATGTTGATCGGACCATATCGTATGGATAGGCAACAACTAGTTCTCCTCCTTGCAAGTTGCCCCCAAGCACAAATGGGTTTTTTTCCATCCATGCTATCACTGCTCGTGTTTCAACTGCCACCTAGGGTGGGAAGAGTAAAAATAAAGCCAGGCCAAGAGTCATGTGAAATCTTAACAGAGAATAATTGTCGCATCAAGTAAAACTCACCATGGATCAAAGGAAATGCTGAAGAGTTAAACCTTTCTAGCACATCTAGAGGCAGAAGTCATTCCCCGCTTAAATACAATCTTTTACTACAGAATATTAGCATCGATTGACAAAGCCAGCTCCAGGTCTTGTTTAATTTGGTCTATCAAGTTAACATTTACCATAGCTAATTTAAGTTTCCTTATATAATTTTGAAGGATAATATTTCCTTCAGTAAGCAAGTCTGTGCAATATGACTCTTGCTGTGTGTAAAAACCTAGCAACAGAGTTGAACCTCTTGTATCCCAATAGGTTATATTTTAAATCATTCTTATTCATATTACTATTCTGACTGAATCAAAGAAAATAGCTTCTTCTCCAGGTACCTGCCCATCTGCCATGGTTGTCAGTGAAAGCCATGCATCATGGTTCACTGTCGGCAAACTTACAGGAAATGGGACCTGTTTTGCTGTGGGACCCTGGTGGTAAAACTGCATATACCTTGAGGCCCATTTGCCCTTTCCCAAACACATTCAGATGTCAGATTAAGGCTGCAGTTGTATATACACTCAGCTAACAACTGAATTCAATACTTTTACTTCTGTGTAGAGATGCAGGACTTGCTTCACTGGGCATTTGGCTTACATTTAATTATATTTTGTGCCCTTGTACCACCATTATTTTTTGCTGCTTATTGTGCTTTGATTGATCCTTAAATAATATTTTGTTCAATTTAAAACTGAATTGCTCATTGCCTTGGGATCTCTTTTATGATAGGAAAGTTTATTCGCATTCTTAATAACTAATATACTAAAATAAAAATTCAGAGGCTAAAATAAGGTATGACTATAAAAGTATAGGATTAATACAAAAAGATTTTTTTAACTTCTGTATTTCAGTAGAGATCAGGAATGTTGTTGACTTTTCCTATGAAAGTAAGCACAGTTTGTGATGTAGTACATGTCTAGCAGTGTACCAAAGCAAAGAAAGTCCTCTGGAGGGTGATCCAGGAACAAGAAAACAGCATCAGCCAAGAGAAACAACGAAAGGGAACAGGATTAGGAAAGGGCAAATATGCATAGCATCAACGTGTTGAGAAACACTTGACAAAGTTTTACTCAACTGAAATGACAATTTCTGACCCAAATATAAAACTGAGAGTGCAGCCTAATTTCTAACCAGAATGTGTTATTTATTTAATTGGCCTCTTTTCTATATCAATCTACCCAGAACAGTGTAAAACAATAACATCACATTTTAAAAATCAATTTTAAAACTGCAACAATGTAACATTCATAGCCCAATAAAGCAGCACAAAGTCACTAAAAAGCAGCAACACATCAGCTCTTCCCATTAATAGAAAACCAAAACCCTGTCCTTCAGCAGCATGCTGACTCCTGACCCAAGAAACATCTTCCACTAAGGGACTGTATTTCTGCTGGTGAAAGAGGAGACTGGTGGCCTCCCCAGGACTGAATGCACAAAGTGTGTGGGATGGTGATGATGACCATGCCAGAAGGTATGTGGCTAATAATATACTTTCCAAGTCCAAAGTATACTATATTCACCTATTGCAACCTTGCCAACAGTCCTGTAAGTAGCTCAGTATTGTGGTCACCCATATTGCAGGTGGGGGGGGGGGCTGAAGATGCGGGAAGGGCATCCCTAAGGCCATCTTCTGGAAAGGACTGAGAGAAGGGCTCCTGAGACGGGCGGTTAAAGTAATCTTAGATTAAAAGATTTAACATTTAATCTACAATAAAATGTCTTAGATTTAAAAAAAGCCTAATACTAAAAGAACAAGAATGGCACATTTGCACTGTGTAAGGCCACAGTCCTCAGCGTATTGTGTCATTGGCACCTGATAGTAGCACTATGCATAGTAGAGCAGAACGGAGACTCTGTCAGTCATCATCATTGCCAAGAAAGTGCTCCACTTTCTAGACCATAATTCAACAGTAACCAGTATACCTGAATGCTTCCAAAGAACTAGGATTTTGGCTGAGAAAACTGGAATAATAAACATGTAGAGGGCAGGGGACACCAAAGAAAATGAAATAAACAAGAATTCTAGGTACATCTGAAGAACTACCTTGTAAGCAGGATTTATAAAGTACCTTTCCCTATTTCACTTCAAGCTGGGTATGTTCAGCCACCAGAAATAATGTTTGTGTTTGAATATCACAAGCAGAGATGACACTGAATTGTTAATGAATAATGCTATTTACACAAGCCACTGTGGCCTGTCCATATGTGATATCATATTTGGTTAATTATTTAAATGAGTTTCTTCCTCCTTCTGCCCTCAAAGGACAAAAGGTGAGGAAAAACAGAGAATATTTTCCCTAGATAGAAACCTAATAGATATTACAGACTACTCTGTTTCATTGAATAAAATACCATAGCCCGAGTGCCAGTGAAGATGGCCATCGCACTTTCAATAAGGAAGGATGAAATCAGAGATGCAAATTACTAATATCAGTATTAGTAGATTTTAATGCATGTCAACCATTATCAATGAACTACTTTTCATTCACTTTCCATTGTGTTTCTAGGGAAAATGAGATCAGCTTCAACTACTTCAAATAAAGAAGGTGATTCTGCTTGGTATTTATCTTTGATGCAATTTCTACTTACTGTTGCATTTTCAGACAGGTACCATTCTGGAATTGGTATGTGATGATTTGGGACCTTTCTTGGAACTCTTTTCTGATCCTCAGCTTCCCAAAGCAGAGTATTTAGGTCAGGAAAGTTGTTATTGATATCAATACCATCCTGGGTCCATCGCCCTAAAGACCAGCCTCCTAATTCTGAGCCCTGAAAGATAGTTATTAAATTATTTAGCATATTCTTTTACAATAGGCATATTACAGTGACAAATTAATTTTACCTTCATGAAATAAAACTAGTTATCTAAATTCCTGTGGATATGATAGAACAAAACCCTTTTCAATACCTTGGTAATGAAAATATGATCTCTAAAATTCTCAGAATCCACTGAAAAGATTTTCTCCTTCTATAATATTATGGAATGAATCCAGACATGGTTAGTCATACTCTAAGGCTAAACTCAACATTCTACTCATTGTGTTAGATTATTTTTCCTTACTTTTGTGTAAGTGCACATAGTCTTGGGGATTGTAGAGCTTTAGGAGAGACTGGCTTAAGCTTTCCTCCCACTTATTTTTCCCTGAATCCCTGCCCCTCAGAGAGGTATTAAAAATCAATGGGACAGCTTAGTCAGCGGTATAAAACAGAGTCTCCAACTGCATGGAGCACTATACTTGCATTCAAACAAAGCACTGTGCACATGAATCCTCACAAACTGGGAGAGTGCCAGTATAGACCTACAGTTACTTCTGATGTACAGTTCTATGAATTCTACATTTATATTGGTATCTCTGATCCAGTCCCCCCCCCCCAGTAATTGGGTGTGTGTGCGCGCGCACACGTAAATTATCAGTATATGAGAGCTAAGGGGTGAGATCCTTGCCCCTGGGGAAAGCTGCTTGTTTGTATGGCACCATATTAAAAATGAAACTGTATCATCCTCATGACCATTTTATTAACACTAACTATTGACATCCTTTTCAGTCTTTCATTACAGTTTTGCACAACTCCTTTTAAACAACTTCATTTCCAGTCATTTCTCATGTGATCCCTGCAACTCATGATTATCATATCCTGATAATCTCCTACCTTTGAATGTCACACCAACCCATCATGGGGGAAAGAACCCCTAGAAAAAATCATGTGTTCTCAGGGTGGTTCATTGCCCCCAAATAAGCCACACTGCAGGAAGCGGTCTGAATTCAGATGACAACCCTCACTTGCAAGTTACCCACAATGGTTCTCATGTTGTGTCACCCAGACTGTCTTCATTACCAGCTAAACAACTTTGCTGCTTCCAGGATCAGTCAATGTTGTGGATCAGGAGGAAGGAGAAACTGCTTTGTAACTGATATGGCCTATGGGGTTAGTTGAAAAAGAAGTTACTGTGGGTGAGGAGACACCTTACACAGGGTTTTATGCTGGCCTCATTTCCATTGTAAAGTGTATTTCCAGTCACCCTTTCAGTTGTAAACCTAGGATTAGAGGTTGCAAGTATGTCAATGAGTATAGCAAATCAAAACTAAAAAAATATTCTGGCAAGATTTTAATTAACATGCTAAAAGAAACAATGCACTTGGCTGAAAGAAAAAGAGAGAAACCTGTTCTGATGCAATAAAAACCATGGCAGTTTATTCACAACTTTAGTTATTAACTTAATTACAAGGTGAAGAAAAATAGATTCAATATCTCTTAATGGCAACAATCTGTCTAAAGACTCACGCTTACTGCTTCTCCTGAACACTCTTTTAAATTGTGCAATATGCCACAGAGGCACTTTGTCTCAAAAGAAATGTTGGTGATTTGAGGGAGATGTCAACTTAAAATGAAACACTGGAAGAAAGACAAATCTAGTCAGGAATATTGAATTAGGCTTCAAAGAAAAGCCCTGCAGAACATCAGAGTTCTAAATCACACAAAGAATCTCCTTTCCACTACTGATAACCAAGAAAATATATGATTCTTTTTGAGTGAAAGAATGATGGGTAACTAACGTTTTAACCCAGAAACCTACCTGCATAGTGTGCTACCACCTGTACAATGTTTCCATGGAACTGCCCCACAACTATAACTGTTCCTCAGGAACATGCTGGATCCAGTCCTTTATGTGTCCATGCTCAGTGTTAGAAGTTTGCATTTTTTCTGCAAACTTTTACTTCCACAACCTACATTCTTTGGGAACCTTATTCTTAGGGAACCCTAACCCTAACCCAAACCTCCTATGTTCAATTCCCAAACCACAAAGTGTTGATAAGAGATGAGTCTTTTTTACAATTCTTGGGATATCATTTCTTATACAACAGTCCAACATGGTTGGCTAGCCTTGGTTGCCAGACCAAACATTGTGGCTTCCATCTGCTGGCCCATGGCCTTGTGCCTCTGTGCCAAGGACAAGGACAATCTCTGGCTCTCCATTTTGAGGCCATAGAGGGGGTCTGTCTGCATGATCCTGCACTCCCAAAGTATTGAAGGCAGTACACCCACCCCACACCACACACACACAAATAACAAGTATTAGTCTGTTAATTCAAAGGCCAGGAGAAAAGCTAGGACTCCTAATGCCTGTTAGAGGTAAAAGGCCCATTAGTACTTCAACCTCTGCTCCTGTACCTTCCTGTCACAGCATCCTCAGTGGCACATTTACCATTCAACATGTGAGTGTCCTACAGTGAAAATTTGAATGCTAGTATATTTTAAATTAGGATAAGGATTATATTTATATCCCGCCATTTTTCCTGAGAAGAACCCAAGGTAGGTTACAGAATATTTCTTCTCTTCTCTGTTTGCTTCTCACAACAATGATCCTCACAACAACCATGATGTAGGTAAAGTTGAGGGTCAGTGACTGGCTCACCATCCCTGAGCTTGATGGCCAAGTAGGGAGTACAACCTGGCTCTGCTGAGTTCCAGTCCGATGCTCCCACCACTGGGTGGGACATGCAACACTGGGTTTTTAATACCACTTTCATTCCATAAACTGGTGATCTATGAGCTATCAACACCTAGTCTAGAGAATATTGTGGTTCTTGAATACAAAATTTGGTCAGTGCTGAATTAAATACTTTACAGGACATATATCAATCATTCAGTTTTGACCTTAATGATAACATCTGAGTTTGCCCACCAACCCTATCTACCTTAGACTGACTTCTAAGTCAAATCACCACTTTCCTCCAAGTGTGACTATCTATCTATCTATCTATCTATCTATCTATCTATCTATCTATCTATCTATCACCACCCAGGATTCACTTATCCATATATTTGGGCAGATCCAACAGGGCACTTCCACCCCTGCCAATTCTCTTCCATACCACTAATTCTGGTGCACCAGCATCCACCACCACAAGTGCAATTTAATGCTTCTGTTGTCACCAGAACTAAGCAGAAACACTCATTTCAGGAAGAAGACAAATTAATGGAGATCACAGAAGGCAGAGGCAGAAACCTCACTCTCTTCATAAATGAGCTGTTCCATTTGTTTGAAGGTTCCCATATGAAGGACTAAAAATCCCTTAAATGAGTGGTGAGTCACACTTGCACAACAAAATTGGCAAGGACCACCATATATGGGAGGAAATCAACATGGCAGAAAAAGAAGCAGTTGGGGCATTATTGCTACCCAATATCCTGCCCTATATTTGCAACATTATCAGTTGCAACAGATTAATCAGTTCCCGCCACTAATGATCAGTGTCTGTTGTAACATCATGAAATGCCAACCTGCCTTACCGCTTCATAGGCCTTTTCATATCCATCAGGATTAACTGAAGGAAGAAGATGAATTCTGGTATCCTCAATGAGGCGCACAATGCGTGGATTCCTAGCCAGATATTCCTGGCACATAAATTGCATTAACAAAAGTAGCAGCTCACGTCCAAGTACCTCATTCCCATGAGCTCCAGCCATGTATCGAAATTCTGGCTCACCTGGTCAAACACAAAAAGATGTGATCAAATTGCCCCACTGAAAAATGAACCTATCTGAAGTAAGACAGATCTTTTGGCCTAAAGGAAGAGAGCATTTAACATGGCCTTTGTCATTCCTATGTTTTCAGTCCCATATGTGGCGAGCAACTAGGCATTTGGGGAATAAATACAGTCCAGCTCTTCTACCTGGTATACCTGATTTCAACGATTCCCCCTGACACCATATATAAACTATAATGCAGAGTAAACATTTAGAAACAAAAAAACATAGAAAGATAGAAACAGAGCGAGTCAGAAGGGGCCTCCCAGGCCATCTAGTCTGACCCCTGGCTCCAGGTGGCTTCGCTCACGACATGCCCTCCATGTGCATGGCCAGCCTATCTTTGAACACCCTCAGCAATGGGGCCTCAATGACTTCTCGTGGAAGCCCATTCCACACCCTCGGGTTCCTGACTGTCAGGAAGTGCTTCCTGGCATCCAAACGGAACCTTGGCTCCCTGAGCTTTGCTCCGTTGGAGCACGTCCTGCCTTCCTCTGCAGGAGAGAACAGGTCTCTACCCAATTGTAATTTCAGTAGCATTATAGTTTTTCAGCTCCATTGTAAGGAAACAACCTGTATTTCACCATTTATTTGTATGTATTGGTCAATAAATAGTTGGAGAGCCAGTGTGGCATGGTGATTACAGTGTTAGACTGGGGACTTGGAAGATCTGGGTTCTGGTCCCCATTGGCCATGAATCTCACTGGGTGACTTTGGGACAGTCAGTCACTCTAATCCTAAAAGTTGTTTTGTGAGGATGGATTGGTATGGAGTGGAAAACTGTAGAAGCTGCCTTGAGTTCCTTTCAAGTGGAAAAAGGTGGAATATAATTTAATACTATAAGAATGACTGAGTTGTTCTGTTATTTACCACAATATTTGTAGTCTATCAATGCATATTTTAGAATTGATTAGAAGGGAAAAGGAAATGCATTGGCTTGGCTATATTTTGTATACCAATCCTGTTTATTGGCCAACCCAAATTAAAATAGTTTAGGTAGGTCAGGGAACAGATGGGATCAGAAGAGCATTACTCTGGGGTAAATGTTATTGCTCCCGACTATGGATTGAACTGCTATCTATGCTGGGCAGAACTCCCTGCATGTTTACTCAAGAATCAAACTTTGGTATTAATAGTGCTTTGTGATTCGTGCTGTACCGCTACCTGAAGCAAAATTAAACTTGATGTTGCCAACATCTTTTGTCCTTGCATGCTAGTCTTTCTTCAGGAAATATCTGGTGCAGGGCCTATGTTGGCTGGGGACTGTGGTGTGGAAGAAACGGGCTTCATTCCTTTCTCCATGCCACGGTCCTGAACCAGATACCTCATGCTACATGTGTCACAGGAAATGAGGGAACCACCCATTGGTTCCAATTGGCATAAAAATGATAATTCTGGCATCTCAGATACACAGAAAGAGCAGAATTGTGTTCTACTTCTTACTGTCTATGTATTTTCTAGATAAATAGACATTAGCAAACAGAGTTCTTGGTGAATATTTCTCAACACTAAAACATGCTTCATTTGTTTTAATTGCAAAAGAGGAATATATGATTAGCATCAGGGAATTTGATCCCAGTTTTTCGATGGCTTCTATTTATATTCATCTTTTCTTTCTCTAATTAGAAAGTATCATCAGAATTCCTCCCACATGTATTCAGCACCATGACTACTGAAGTCACATGTTCCCACTGCTGACTGCTGTAGACATGTAGAGTGTTAACATTTTAAACATTCCAATAACTTCATCCAGCAGCCCGCAGGTTGGTTTTAATTCAGTCCAAATATAATCCTAACCAACTTCGTGTTCTCCTGGGTTGTCCGAGATTTCAACAGCATACAGCTTTAGCCCTTGGTGACTTTTCCCAATATTGTAAATTCTTGTGATATTTGGACACATTTCATTCACCACTTTCATCAGCTGTAAAATAAACAGAGGAAAAGTATATATAAAGTGACAGGATCACAGGTGAATATAATCTTCTGCCCTATTTCATAGTTCTTTTGCTTATATGCAGTTTCGTACTGGGTGCTTCAAAAGTTGTGGCTAGGAGGTACCCTAAAAGCCAATGGAACAGAGAAATAAATGAACAATTTTAAATACATGCTAAGAAGCATAAGTATCTGCATTTGTAAAAATAAGATTGCATTTTTCAACCCTCCTGTGAATGAGAGAGATGGACATTTTTCCTATTTTCACTTCAAAAACACCAAGGAACCATCTATGTATTGGCAATGCAAAAAGTTGATTTCCCCCACTACATACACACAGACACAGACACACATTTCCTTGGCCTTGCAGAAACAGAACTGTATCTGATAATATATGGTCCCAGCTTTTAAGAAATCATGCCCAAAGAAAAAAAGTGTTAATAGACTATTATTATGAGTTCTCTGCAGCAATTATTTCTTATTAACATTCTGGAAAAATGGCATAAATCCCCCAAAGTAACCCATTAGACTTAATCTCAATTCACTCGGTGCAGAGAAGGATATGGTGGGCAGAGCTAACTCAAATCCAACTTCTGAGAAAATGGTAGTGCTGTAGGGCCAGTTTATGATGAATTCTCTTTCAGGTAATTGGTTTAGGCTCTCAGCTAGACATTTTCCATCTTTTAATCCACGTGATTCTCATTTGTTTTCTCCTTTGAAAAGCCAAATATTAGTTGCTGCTGAAATATTTGAGATTAATTGAGAGGTCATTTTGAGATGTCTTCTCTTCATCATGTAGCAGAGAAAGCTGACATGCTGGGAAGGATTGGCCAAAGACAACACTGATGGGTTCTTTTTGTTTACAGCATGAGGGTTTATTTAGACATGGCTAGATATATAGTAAGGACATTATTTCCCTCTTGCACTGTTTCCTGGAAACTTCACACTGACCATGATAGGTCTTGTCATGTTAAGCGGCTAACAAGCCCTGTAAAAGTGCTGATATTATCAACAAAGCAGATGAGACAAGAGAAGGAGCTACAATTCAGGAGATCCAGGAGAATTCATGTGCCCTTACCCTGAAACAAGGGACGAATTAGCTCGAGGCAGCAATTTCAGGACTGACAGAATCTGTTCAGGTAGCATAATATGGGAGAGGGGAAGGACAAGGCCCTGGGACACGGGGTCAGTATCAGGCATCAGGACATTTACTGGACCTTGCCACCTATGGTTTAGCAACTGCCTCCTTTTGGATCCCCTGAGCCCCTCTTCATCCATGCTATGACTGTCCAGTCGCATGTTTCCTATAAAGCAAGTGAGCAATCACAGCCTTTTCCTTTGTTCTGCTGTGGCTGCTGGGCTTGATTCTAAAGGGACAAGGCAAGTGAATTGGCAGTGGGAACAGCAGTGACAAGATAGTGACCCACATCAGGGAGAGGCCACTGAAGACAAAATGCAAAAAGGGAACCCAGAACATGGCGGTGGCACTGTTGGGGTGCCATGCAAAGGCCACAAAGAGCTCTCAAATATTTCCTTGCTGCTGTGGTGAACTTCCTGGAGTGTCCTTTGCCCATGGTTAAACTGCCTACTGTGAACATCAGTCATGGCTAAACTTGGAATTTGGACTGGATTTTTGCAGCAATTTCAGTGCTTTTTGGTGTCAGGAGGAGGGGGAAGGGAGAGTGAAAGGAAGGGATGGTCTTGACCCTGCCTGACTGGTATTACCCATATGATTAAACAAGGAAGAAAAATCTGCAGTATCTGGGGGAAAGCAGAGGTACCAGGACAATCGCAAGAGCAAAAACGGTGCCAGTAAATAGCAGCAACATGATTTTAAAACATGACTATTACATAGCTTGAGGCACATATTAAAGGCCCTTGGAAATGCACATTTCTTGCCGAAAAACAATCCTTCGGTTCAGCACTAATGCACACATATCCTAGACCTACTGAATCACCATTCATTTAAATAATTTTTAAAATGTGGCATTGGAGTTGGGACTAGAATCACTAACAGTGAAAATGAACAATTAAAGCTGCTTAATGGCCCAATTACAATCATGCTGTCAAATGACTTGGTGATGAGAGAAGCAGAGAATATGAGAGACCATGACAGAGGATTTCACTTTCTACTGACCAGCTAAAGCTACTTGCCATTGCTTAATCCCATCTCTTTTGTACTCCTTGTATAAGACCAAAGGAAATGATTTTCTCTTGCTTTAAACTATTAGTTCCCCCCAAATATATTTCAAACCTGACCAACCTGTCTCTGAACAATTAGGATCTAAAATGCATTTAACTTTATTGTTCTTGACACTAATTATGCCAATTGAGTTTCTACTCGTCTAATCTGTCTGCTGGAAATATAGGCCATGAAATCTCTTGTGAGCACTGTGTGTGACTCGGTACACAATTGCTCAATAAAAAATGAATGATGACTCATTCCATATAAATACACTGAAGATTCAGCACACTCAAAATGATTCACATAGTTCATGTCCAAAAATATTATCTTTATATATTTGAAGAATAAGATAGGAAGAAATGTCTTTAGCACATTCTACACCTACCTCCAAGGTGATATATATCTAGATGATTGTGCTGTGTGCTTGAAGCCAAAGGACCATAATTATAGCTGGTAGGTCTAAACTTAGACTGGCAAGGATTCGTGTTCATGAGAGTCTTGGTTGTTTGTATTTTAGCACAAGCTTTCTGTTGCCAATCACACCACCCTTAAGGTCTAGGTGAAATTGTTCCTTCCTATTGATGGTTGCACAGAATTACACCCATAGAACTATAGCACATAACCTATAGTTATATAACCTTTCTGGAAGTTACCCAGGATGTTCTACACATCAAACAAATCCATGCAGCACTGCACATTAGTGTACAATCAATTCTATGCATACTTATTTCAAATGAATTCCAACTGGACCCACTCCTATGTCCATGGTGTGAATCTTCTAGCCTACAAGGCCTGCTGCTTGACTGGTGCTTACTGGAGTGGCTCCTCCAACCACAGGTGAGGTAGTGTCTTTGCACACACCACTTACTCTCAAATTGGGGAGATGGCTGACATACAAAGAAGCTGTCATACTGAGCCAGTGCTTGGAGAAGCTATGGAGACTCTTCCTCCATGAAGAGAGAGGCACAAGAAATGGAAGATCAGCAGGCTGTGTAGGGGGAATGGTGCCAGGAGGGGAGGGCTTGGGGGCAAGTCCCTACCACCAGGCATCACCTGGCCTGACGTTTTGACACACTGGACAGTCTAGACCGAAAAGGCTCTCATTCTGGCGCACAGCATTAAATGCTTGATATTCTAGTGTATTGCAAGCTGAGAGAAGTAAATTAATCAGTCTATTCATGGTCCATGCCACCTTTCATGTATTCACCTATAAGTCTGTGCCATCCTGTTTCCACATTAAATGTGGTGTCTGTTCTTTAAAGGCTGTATTTCAAGAGTATTTTTATACACATTTGAAACACAGAAACAGAGTGAATCAGAAGGGGCCTCCCGGGCCATCTATTCTGACCCCTGGCTCTAGCCTCTCAAAAGGAATGTCGACATTTGCTCTCAAAATACATATTTCTAAACATATATTCCATCAAAATGTGCCTTTCTAAACATACTTTGGTACCGTTTTTGAGCTGAGAACTGCATCAGAACATTAGAGAAGTGTGAAATCTGGTGGATGACTAAGGGACGAGCTATGCGTTAGTTTGAAGCTGTTGCTAGCAGCAATATCCTTCTTTTACATTTTCAAGAAAGGGCAGAGGGATCAGGCCTTTGCACCTGTGATTTTCAGTGTCATAAAGGGATTCATTAAAGCAAATGGATCATTTTAAAAAAATATGAATGTGGAGTCCTATGCAGAACCACCACAGAGAAGCAAACTGTTAAAAACACCTGCCTTCTGTGCTAAGTTCCCAATCTAGATGGTGTCCTTGAGCTTAGAGTAAAAAAGAAGCTAGATCTTCAAAGTGATATGCAATTAGGGGCTGAGTTCCAGTGCACATTTTAGTGCAGGATGTACGGATCAGGTCACATTAAAATATACCAAGTGAAATTCCTCAGGGGTCCTGAGCAGAGAGCAAACGTGAGAAGCTGGGGTGGTGAGTAATTTTCCTCTAGCAGTGCAGCAGCACCTGAGCCCACATGTTGTGCCGTAGTCATGGAAGAGTAATCCCTGGGATAAGCCAGGATATAGCCGTACAAGTCCAGTTACTTTCATGCCTTAAAAAAATCTCACACAGTAATATTTGCTCACACAGTGATATTTTATGATTATTTATTTATTTTGCTTTGTAGGCCACCCTATTAGACTCTCTGTGCAGCTCATAACATGATTGGAAGGGGTGGCCAGCTGTAGTAGCACTTTTCTACTCTTAACATATATGTAGAAAAGAGGAAATGTGGCAGGAGCAGCTTCTCTAATCTCAGAAATTATGTGTTCTCACTGAATACCCCTGGTGAAATTTCATCTTCTGCGCTACGGTTGACAGTGCAAAACCCAATTCTGTTGAAAGAGTAGCTATAGAAGTGATGAGCTGGCTCCACACAAAGTCCTATGTAACGTGGACCTATAGAAATCAATGTTCTACCAAGGTAAGTGCCATAGAGTTCCATGAAAAGCAGTAGAAGCCAGTTAGGTACTTCTATACCCATTGAATCCCTCTGGCTCCCTCCCATAAGCAGTGGGTCCCACTGACGCCCCTGTACAAGAAGGACCCACTGTTTATGGAAGGGAATTTCCACCCTTCTAGAGGAGGTATGAGAGGAAACTGCAGGGGTGAAAGTCCCCCACTGGATTCTGTCAAAAGTCTGACTCTAACAATGAGGTACTTTAATTAGCACTTTCATGGTGGTCCACTTTGCCTATTTTATTTTTCTTCATGACATTATGATTTTGTCCTATGAATTTTGACTCCCTCCCCTTTCCTACATTCCTCAAGCCTGTACAGAAGCAGTTCTCTTGAGCTGCTCACCTCCACACTGAATTTCATTTCAAAATGCCTCAGTTTGGGATGGGGGACAGGAAGCATCAGCAGCCCCCCTCCCCCAAGTCAGCACTGCTGGCCACACATCCTGCTCTTGCCTAACATACAGCAATGAGCCTAATGACTTCACGCAGAACAGGAGGAGGGTCAGCTAAGAAAAAACATCAGTTTTCATAACTAAAACCCTTCCTTTTGTCTCATACAAGAAAATCAGTCAAATGTGTTCCACTCCCTTGAGCTTTATATTTAAGAACTGTGTGGACTAGATTTCTTCGCATGCAGCAGTCAGGGCTTGGAGCCAGATTGGAACCATTCAAACAAGTTCTCTCTACCCAACTTGCTTCAATTTACCCAGATGTACAGACTGTAGTCCCCAGCAGAGGCTGGGGACCCCTCGGTGTGTGGGGTTGCTTGTCCATTGCAGTTTTATTGCAAGGAGGGGATTCACAGGAACTCTGCACAGTGGTGAACCCTTTTGGGGAATGGAATTCAGCACCATGGATAGTTCAAGTACACCACAAATAAAACCTGCAAAGGATCAGGCGTTCCACAGAGGTAGGGCTTTACTGCCCCCACAGTCCCACCCATGACCTCTCATGCTGTTCCAGTGGGGGACCATGGCTTTTGCTTTATTCATTCAAGAATGGATCCACAGACATGCACACGTTTCTGTATTTCACAAATGAAAATATTGGTAGCAAGTGTAGCTTCTTTTCCTACAAAAGCATTTTAAACACTTGACGTCCTGTCTATAATGCAAGCAATGAATCTGATCTGAGGGACACAATATGAATTTGTGCATCAGGTGTTGTTTTTTACTCCAAACTCACTGGAATTAATTCCAATGGGATAGGATTCCTATGACTCAGAGGTATTGGTGTGTGGGTGTAAAGGATATAATGCTGTATTGTGAAGTCACTCAGACTTTTTTCAGAACATTGTACATTTATAAAGGATTTAGGTAGCAGTCTGTCACTGCAGTGCTAAGTACCTGTTGTCATATAAGACCCCTAAAATATATATATGCACACACACACACACACACCCCGTCACCAGAAATTCTGTTCTGTGTGCCCTACCTGCCTCATTTCTTTGTAGTTATGATGCTTAAAATCAAGATTGTCCGTTGTTGTCATTTCATTTCTTCTGTGGTAATAATTATTTGGATCTGTGATTAAAAACAAAACAAAACTAACATGTTTTCAATGTTAGAAGGGCAAACCCTAGTCGAAAATCTGATGTCATGGATATAAACTTTTAAAACAATGAGTGGGGAAAACAAAACATTTGGGGAAATGTGTAAAGTTGTGTGTACATCCAGCAGGCATTTTCATTATTTTTGTATGCTGTTCTTCCTTACTTTTGTCAGCATCCACCCACAAAAAGGAAGGTATTCAGTTTAAAGAGAAGATGGCATTTTATCTCATCTGCCCCTCTCCAGCCACACATTCTCACCCAATCCATCTGTGAAGATCCATGCATGGAGGGAGACTACTATTAATTGGTGGCATCTACTTTCAGTTTTGTGACAGAACGGAGGTAAGAAAATTTCCTTTCCAGTTTTTCTACTACCTAACCTTTTGGTGTCACTGCAGTATAGCAGAAGACAGCAAATAAGAAGTTTTAAAAAGTGGCTCCTTTAGCTTTCTAATCTAAATTTCTCAACTTCCCTGCCATAAAGAAACATACTGAAAGATGTAGAAGTGAAATGACTGACTGGGAATGATGAACATATGACGGATGCCTCATACAGAAGAGTCAATTTAACTGACTAGGAACCACAGGCTTAAATCAGATGGATGGCCAAATTAGTTGTTTAATCAATTTAGAGCATGAACTATGTATATTTAGAGGATGGGGGAAATTCATAGGGCTACTGGCTGGAGAATGCTGAAAGTTGTAGAACTGTTTCCCCTATCTAAGCATGCTTAGTATTGTACATTTAGTATATTTATTTATTACTATTTACCATCATAACCACATTTATATCTGCCAAAGGATTCAGTATGACTGGATGATTCAGGATGATCAAGGAATGATATCTATTCAGATTGTATTCTGGGGCTATTTATTAATAGCTCCAGATGTTTTATTAACTTGTGACAAAGTAAGAGGGAAGAATAATTCATTCCCCTGGAGGACATTCCAACACATCACCCAAACCAAGGGAGGCAAAGACTATGCTCGTTGTCACATTCTGTTGCCTTGGTTGCTCATTTAGTGACGGCACCCACTAGCCCTTCTATGGAAACTTATGCCAAGCCTAGTTTTGAACACAGCTCTTACCTGGGAGAGGACAGCCTAGGATTTCTAGTCTCATGCATATGTTCCCTTCCTCATACCATGTTCGAGGGTTTATCCGAATGTAACGTGCAACCAGTGGTACTGGCAGCTCATTGAGGACTGGAATCTCCTTTTCACTGTTGCCTTCAAAAATCTATTTAAACACACAAGGAGTGGATATCATTAGTAACAACTCCTGAAACAAGGAAAAAGCCAAACAATGAGATTAGACTATTCTGTGGCCATAAGGGATGAAGAAGAAAACAAGAACACATGTAATTCAGGGTCAAATTTTCTTTGTTTCATTGCAACGTGATCCATTCCTTTGAGGCACAAAGAATTCCTTTGAGGAATAGAGTGTGGAGAAAGCAACTTTTCCTCCTACCGCTCACTCTTTCTAGATCAACTTTCCCCAACTTGTTGTCTCCCAATGTTCAAAACTGCAATGTCCTCCAGTCAGAATAACCAATCACCATGAAAGCTAGGAGGCCCATGCAAAAAGTCAGCAACCTTATAGGGTTGGATGGTGAGTGACTGGTCCTTCACATCACCTGAGCCATGCAGGGCAGAAAACTGCAGTTCTCTCTTCCAGCCACTTGCAGCGGCTGGCTAACTACAAGCTTTTCCTGGTATGCAGGGAGTAAGTGAACCTCGGCTCCACTGCCACAGACTCTACTTTAAGCCTCCTGATTCTTTACATTCAAGGCAGAGGACCTTTTTTTTTTTTTTTTTTTTTAAAGAAAAAGCCAGTTCAGGCATTATCCCTCACATGATTTTTGAGGATGCTTCATGGCCCAGCAGGAAAAAAAAATACTGTAACTGAGGAATTCTCCAAGTTCATGTCCTCCTGGTATTTCTTAGCACATGTGAACAATGCATCTGAGACAGACAGACAGACTGATACGTGAATGGGGCACAATTACATAAGCCCATGTGATCAGGAACCTGAAATGAGCTGGTCCCTTCCTGTCTTCCCTCTGGTTCCCAATCTCAAACAACCCTTTCAAAATGCATTTCTTTTATTGAGATTCCACAGATAACAAAGCCATTGGAAGGCTAAATAGCCTTCTACCAAAGCTGAAAAGAAAAGTCTCTGCTCATGTAAAGAGCTGCATCCAAACTGGGCTCTTCCCCACAGTCTCTCCCTTTAGTAAAGCTTCTGACTCCACCCTCTGGATGTTTTTCACTGCTGGAGAGCAAGATGGCATGAATCAAAGCCCTTCCAATTGAGCTACTTGTTTATCCCAACACCTCCTCACTCAGTCGAGGACTGGATCTTGCACATGCTCCCTGTCCCCTCCTGAACCTCCCACACACCCTCCAACTCAGGTTGATTCTCACACACAGCCTGAGAAAGTTCTCTAGGCACAGTTAAAGGAACTCCAAAGACTTTGTTTCCCCACCCACACATATCCTCTTCCTGTTCAGAATCCAGCAATGACGACTCCCACTGAACATTTGGCAATGCGCAAGAGACTGGCCCACTCTCTACTGAACTCTCTAAGGACTCCTGGCTGCGTGGAGCTGTAGAAGCCTGTTCAGCCTTACAGACCTCCCCTGTCAATGCAGGGACATCCAGAAGGGAAGAGGCAGGGCTGGCATGTGCATACCAAGCTCTCTCCATAGTTATTCTAATGCCCTCACTGGCAAAATACCTATCATCTTTGCCAAGTAATGCTGTGCAAAAGTGAACACTGGAATCCAGTATTAATGATCAAAACTTGAGTTTTCCTATATGAGACATTTCTTGCATATTCACGATTTCCTACTGAAGAATGTTTATGGGTTCTCTAAATGCCATTGTGACCATCTAATTTTACTTCTGTTTTTAAATAGCACTTTTGTCAAATGCGTTTTTAGAGCAGGGAAATGTGGTGTTACTTCTGACAGCAAAGGGAAATGTTCTTCCACCTGTGCAATTGCACTATTCCACCATATTACAGCACCACCTAGAGGTAAAGCAGTGGAAAAGCAAAAATGGACATGCTTTCCATGTAGTTCTCATGTCTTAATTTTGCAAGGACATGGAAAGAAGATACAGCAGATTAACAGTGTCATGTACAAATGCCCCATATCTTATTTTCTCTTAGGCATTATTAAATACATATCCTCAACCATTTGAGTTTTCTAGTCTCTGTTCATGACTGCATGCCAGAAAGTCTTCAGTTTAATTTTAGGTAGTCTTGCAACAGTTTATAAAGTGTTTATATATTGCCTTATGTCAGTTCATTAATATGGAACCATTAGTGAATGGGTGTGATTGAGAAATAATACATGACATGATACTAACCATGTCTCCAGAACCATTTCTGACAGTGATCCATGTGTGACTGTCATTGCTCACCATAACTTTGTAAGATGTTACCCAGTCACTCCTAGAAGGAAACAAGAAGATTAAACAATGAGAATTTCATTTCAGTTTGGGTTTAATAAGAATTTGCCAAAATTTGAACACTTCCTGAGATGCACGATAACAACAACAACATGTCAAGATCCAAGAAAATCTAGTGTGGAAGAAACAAGATGGAAACATTTGTCAATCTAGGCCCAGGGAATTCAGTGCTTAACAGAGCAACCCTATAAGACCATGTGCCCTGGAATGTGCCCTTAGCTTTAAAAGTCTGTATTTCAGTCCATGCATCTGCAACTATGGTACTGTGTAATAAGGTTTGCAACAACCATGTTATCAGTCTTTTCATCTTTAAGAACCATATGGTAGAGGCTGTCTAGGGGTCATCAGAATGGACTGTAAAACATGATGAGACATAATTATCACAAGAGCAAACAAATTAACAACAGGACAATACTAAATTAGAAACATCGAAACAGAAAAACAGAGTGAGTCAGAACGGGTCTCCAGGGCCATCTAGTCTGACCCCCAGTTCCAGCCAGCTCCACTCATGACATGCCTGCCATGTGCATGTTCAGCCTATCCTATCCTATCCTAAATTTAGACAGTGGAATCTACTACTTCCTTGCAGTCCCTCCCAGCCCCTGTCAGAAGTTGCTAGTGTGTGGTAGTGGGGCTGTGTGTTCAGCTTTGCTGATCTCTTTATTTCAAATTTCATCACAGTAAGAACCAGTGTGGTACAGTGATTAAATGCTGGGCTGGGACTCAGGAGATCTGGGTTCTAGCCCCTAGTAGGCCATGGAACTCACTGGATGGCTTTGGGTCAGTCACAGATTCTCAGGGTTCTTATTGTGGGGATAAAATGGAAAGGAAGAGAACCTTGCAAGATGCCCTGGGATCTTTACAAGAAGAAGAAAGGTGGAATATAAATGCGATGATGATGATGAGGAGGAGGAGGAGGAATTGGAGAGGGTAATTACGCCAGCTCCAAGCTAGCAAAGCTGAGGGTTCATGAAGCTGGCCCCTCTCGGTTGAATGGCACAGTTTTGAATCATGAGCTTCCTCCCTTATCCCTGGGATGATCTTATGCTTCCCACCACCAGAGAGAGCTTTCCTAAGCCATCTTTGGTGATGATCAAGCTTTGCTTTTGTTAGCAAAATCTAAGGACTTCTCAATAAACTTCCCGATAAAACCAAGGTTTTTATTAGCTCTACAGTAGCTAAAGGCCATAAAAGTGCCTGTAGTGCTTGTACAATCTTAAAATAGTATAAACTGGACACCTCAAAATAGTTGATTCCTCAACTCAAGCTATTGCTTCATTGGTCTCACTTCTCCTTCTGGTCAGCTTCCATAATAACTTTAGCCACCTGTTCCCTTCCTATTCTCTTCCTTACTGCCAAGAACAGTGCATACTTGAATCACGTTCTCCCTGACCTGTTTTTCTCCTGAACTCCTTCCTTTTAAGAGGCTGCCTTTTTTGCATTTTCTCCATTCCTCCTCCCCTTAAATCTTGGTCTTCTCTGCCCTTCCTTCAGATGCCTACTGCCCTACACAGTCACTTTCCCTTTAGCTTAGCTGCCCCTGGCTCTCTCTTAACTCTCCCATTAACTCGCAACTGTGGGACCAGTATAGCTTTCCAATTCGCCACCCTCCTTTCTGCTCACAGTTTCCATTGTGCTTGGCTAGTCTGTGTAGATGCATTTTTGCCACTTTTTGCTTCCATTAAAGAATAGCTTTGTCAACAGTCTACTGCAGAACTATTATTATAAGCTCAAGCCTGAAAGAGAGCCCAAATCAACTTTCTACACTCCTTTATGCATGCTTGCTTTATTTTTCTTAAAGTAAGCACATGAAGCCCTGGTTTGTACTGGGAGGGTGTTTTGTTTGAAGAAGGGGGTGGTTCCAGCACCCCTCCACTTTTCATCCAGAAATTCTATTCCACTCCTGTGGGGAAGGTTTTAAAAAAGAAAGGGCATCCACTGCTTCCAACAGAGTCCTCTGAGTGATTAGAAGAATGTTTAGCTTGGACCAAAGTGTACAGCCTGGAACATAGGTGGCTGCCTTATTCTGAAGTAGACCACTGGACCTCAGTATTCCCAGTAGCATGGCTGGCAGTGGCTCTCCTGGGATGCAAAAAGGAGACTTCCCCATTCTTCAAGGCTGGGAAGAAACCAGGGACACAGTGCAAGCAACACATCAAGCAGAGGAGGCTGGTGCCTCCCAGATCAGTAAAGCTGCTCATCCATTGCAGCTTTTATTTTGAGCTTTATGGGAGGTATCCATGGTGCTCCATGGTGGTCAATCTATTTTGGAGATAGCATTCAGTACCACCAATAGCTCATATGAAACTCAAAGTAAAAGCTGCAATGGATGAGCAGCTCCACTGACCTAGGAGTCACCAGCCTTCCCAGGCATCAAGCCTTTGGATGGCACACTCCAGGAATCACTGGCTGGAGTCCAATAAGGAGCTCTTGTCTTAGCAAAATATTGCAGTCAACTAAAGCCTTAAGTAAGCTAGCCAGGCCTGCTTGTTCCCTGGCTCCACCCTGCTTGGGCTGTAACTGAATTTGACCATAATTTTAAAAAATTGACCAGTTGTTTCTGTGATCTCATGCTCCCATGTGCCTGAAGGAGAGGAAAAGCCAGAAGAGAATTCTTCTCAGAGCTGGATGATGGGAAAGCTAAATCCAGGGAGGTGGGGTTTCCTGTGACCAGCCCAAGTCTTTAATGCACAGAATCAGGGGGCTGAAGCTCTTTGCATGCCATCTGCTTAGCGGGCCCTTGGAGTAGCACAGCAGAACATAAATTTAATAATACATAAATAAAGTATCTGCTACTAAGTTCACAACTGTTCCCTTAAATTATTTATGGATAAACATGTCAGTTACTTTGCAAAGTGAGAGAATCCTGTTCTTGCTGTGGAGTAAACTCTGCCATAACTGTTGTTTTAGTTTCTCATGGTAGGGATCTCCCCCAGAGTATCTTAGCACACAGGATAAATGACAGGTTCCAGGATTCTTGCGAGTAATAGTAATAATGTATGATATAAAATTAGTATTTATTAATGTAGATGGGCTAATCCATTTTCTACTTATGGCATGTCCTTGATGATCCCCACGGACCAACAATGCAAGGCTGATCCCAGTGAATGGCTTGAGTGGGATTTTACCATTATTGCAATAATTTGGTACACACATACACACCCATCATCAGAAAATATTTACGTAGATTTGTGGTTTCACTTTATATTTCAGGGTTGGACCCCAAGTGTTTTTCTTATACAGGTTTAATGGCCACCATACAATCTCTTGACACCAGTAACTTAATATTTATTTATTTTATTTATTTAAAGTATTTATATGCCACCCTGTCGCAAAAGCCTCAGGACGGCTCACATAGATAAAATACAACAAAATATAACATAGATAAAATTATCAACCCACACTGGCTGCAATAAAAACATATAAGTCATGATTAAAACTTATTAAAATATTGCTGAAATAAAAAGGTCTTAACCTGGTGCCGAAAAACATATAATGACGGCACCAGGCAGACCTCTCTGGGGAGCACATTCCATAGGTGGGGCGCCACCACAGAGAAAGCCCTCCTCCGGGTACTTTCCCTTCTATTATCTTTCATGGAGGGTTCCCAGAGGAGGGCCTCCGCTGCCGATCTCAGGGGGCAGGAGGGCAAATATGGAAGAAGGTGTTCCTTTAGGTATCCAGGTACCAAGCCATTAAGAGCTTTATAGGTAATGACCAGCACCTTGAATTGAGCCCGGACTTCGATGGGAAGCCAGTGAAGCTGATAGAGGACTGGGGCTATATGAGAATAACATCCACTCCCCGTCAGCAACCTGGCCGCTCTGTTTTGCACCATCTGAAGTATCCAGACTGCCTTCAAGGGAAGCCCCATGTAGGGTGCGTTGCACAAATCAAACCGGGAAGTAATCAATGCATGTGTCACTGTCACTAGGTAATCTTCCTCCAGGTAGGGATGCAGCTGATGGATTAGCCGAAGCTAAAGGAAAGCGCTCCTCACCACCGCAGTCACTTGAACTTCCAAGGACAGCTCCAGGTCGAGGAGCACTCCCAAGCTGCGGACCCTCTCCTTTAGAGGGAGTGCAACCCTGACCAGGGCAAGGCCCAAGTCACCTACCCAGGAGCTCGATCCACCCACCAGCAGAACTTCCGTCTTGTCTGGATTGAGTTTCAGTTTATTGGCCCTCATCCAGCCCAATACCTCGACCAGGCACCAGTTCAGTACAGCCTCCCTTGATCAGTTGAAAAAGAGAGGTAGAGCTGGGTGTCATCAGCATACTGATGACTCCGCAGCCCAAACCTCCTGATGACCTCTCCCAGCGGTTTCATGTAGATATTAAATAGCAAGGAGGACAAAATGGAACCCTGTGGTACTCCATGGCATAACTGCCATGGCACAGAGCCAAAGTCCCCCAGCACCACCTTCTGGAATCGGCTGTCGAGATAGGAGCAGAACCAGTGCCAAGCAGTGCCCCCTACTCCCAATCCCACCAGCCTATCCAGGAGGATACCATGGTCGATGGTATCGAAAGCCACTGAGAGGTCCAGGAGAACCAGCAGGGACACACTCCCCCTGTTTCTCTCCCTGCACAGGTCATCATACAGGGCGACCAAGGCAGATTCAGTACCGTACCCAGGTCTGAAGCCAGACTGAAATGGGTCCAGATAATCAGTT